AAGTTCGTAGCGGATGCCCAGTGTTTGAACAAGATGCTGGAGAGGCTCCGTCGTGGAAATGTTTGTAATTTATTAAGGCCGAGATCTCGAACCATTAAATATCCTATTACATCAAGATGTTAAAACTTGTTTGTAATTTTATATTTGTTACATAAAGATAAACATAGATTTTATGTCCCACCATTGAATATGAAGAGACAGATAGCATTTCCTCAAGTCAGAACAAGAGATGTGGTACCAATCATTGCAATGAATATCTGAGAGTTTCTAATGACGACGACAACCGCCTTACAAAATGCAAATAGAGTCCTTTATTTTCACATACTTCCAATGAAAAGAAAAATAAGTGAAGACTCTGTCTGTTGTTTCTCTGTTTGTCATCTTTAGTAAAATTATAATAAATGTAAGAACCAAAATATTTGAAAGTCACCATATAATTTATCAGCTTGCAAAGTGTGAACCTCAATTAATTCAAACCATGTTTAATCAAACATGAACAATTATTATGAAATGTAACTTAAGTTTAATATTAAATACAAAAACATACAATTGTACTTAAATAACCTGTTTACACCCACTGAGTGTGGGCAGAAGTACAGCAACTTACGTTTCAGGGGGCCCATTGTTATACCGTGCACCCTTTCTCTTTAAAATGAATACTTGTTTAACCCTTGTCCACTTTCATTACACTCAACACTGCCAATACTAACACCAACATGAAGAAATAGAGCATTACATAGAGAATAGCATTGAAAATGCATCACAGTTTACAATGTCTATGATGACTAGAAAACTGATGAACAAAGCACTGGAGAGAATTTGGTAAGTGAACCCACTGACAGATAATGTCTCCTGGTAATTGAAGTCATAAAATGCACAATTTTTTTAATTTAAACTAAATCAAATATATAACAGCCAAAAATAGATTAAGAATTTTCACACATTATTGTACTAAGACTATCTCAACCTGTCAGCAGTTGCTTAATTATTGCATGAACTTATGAAAAAAAAATGGTGGTTACTATTTTGTTATTTCATCCTCCCAAATTGGAAATAAACAAGGAGCAACAGTACCACATTTATTGAGGTATGACTAAGTAAGATCTATTAACAATATAATCTGATCACCTCTCAGACAAATATCAACATGACATTCAGCCGCTTGGTTACCCAAAAAATGTATAATAGATTTTACTGACATTTGTATCAGTACAAACACATTGTATTGTTCACTTTTAATTTTAATATCTTCAAAACACATATCTTTAAATCATATAGGCCACATTTTCTTTTTGGCAGCTAGTTTTATTTATGATTTTTTTTTCCCAATATATAGCAACAACTGCATCTACATTCCACAATACAGGTACTGTAGGCTGCCACACAAGCTTCACCTACAAACATAATGCAAATTATTATTCATTTTCAAGCCAAAACCTCTCTATTTCCTATAGAGGTTCTCTTCAAATTATCAGTCATTAATATTTAAAGAATTTATATGTTGTAAATTATGTTTTTAGCTGTCATAAGATTATGTGTTTGATGTCCTGAAATTGTATCATTCACAGGGAGACCAAGACACAAGATAGTCTTCCTGATCTTTTTCAAGGTGAGCAACTGAAGAATAAAGTCAAGAAGACGCAGATGGCTGCCGTACACCATACCCATGTCCTGAGAACAAGCAAAGAACGTAAAGAATATGGGGCAAGGTGTCAGAGGACCGTTGGATGACCTTAACATTGTAAGAATCTATTTAACATTTTATTATATCCATTACCAAGCTATTTTTTCATCCTGATTTCTAGGTCCAACAACCACTAAATGGATCAATTTACTTGCATTTGTTTAGTAATATATATATATGTTAGCCGATACTAATGCATGTCAATAAAACCCAGAGGGCACCGTGTTATGAAAACCGCTAATATGAACAACAGAACATATGGGCTATCCTGGCGAACGGCACCATCTCAAAATCACATTCACAAACTCCCTCAAATTTAAACCAAATTTTATCTAAAATTTGCATGTCCAATGCAAAATCATCAAATTCAAAATAAAAACCAAATTTTGTAAATTCCAATATAAATAGTTCAAACACACACACCACACACCACCCCCCCCAACAACACCCCCCCACCCACCACCCCCCCAAATATTTTGAACAAAATACAATATATTTTCAAATAAATATTTTATTTGTAATTTGTATGTCTAATGCAAAATCTATGATGTTTATATTAAAATGATCATCAAATTATGATAAATTCCAGCACATAATTATATTTGACTGTATTTGTATAAAAAATGTCGTTTTCCTCTCACCTCATCAATGCCACTATGTGGAAAACCAGAATATTTAACTTTTTAGTAATAATAACAGCAAACAAAGGTAGATGCAATAAAAATAAAATATACTACTCCAGAATAAAACATTATATCCAAAATTTGTATGTCTAATGTGTTCATGATGCTTATATTCAAAATGATCACACGTAATTTGTATGAGCTATATATATATATATATATATATATATATATATATATATATATATATATATATATATATATATATATATATATATATATATATATATATATATATATATATATATATATATATATATATATATATATATATATATATATATATATATATATATATATATATATATATATATATATATATAACATATACACACACACACACATCCAGTATTATTACCAACGCGGTTTCACTTAACGCGTTTTATCATATATGCGGTGCCTCGCCAGAGCTGAACTTTCACTTAACACGGATTTTTTCCACATATACGCGGTGAGTGTCCGGCTCGAGACGCTATTTTTAGATTTGCGCCACCCGCCACCCTGCCTGACTGCCTGTTTTAGCTGATAAAATTCATACAAATTACCCGGCCAGAATATAATTTACATTGCTGGAATTCTTATAATTTGATGATCATTTTGAATATAAACATCATATACTGTATTTTGCATTAGACATACAAATTTTAGATAAAATGTTTTCTCTAGTAAATATGTTATCTTTTGTGCAAAATATATGACATTTATATTCAAAATATTCCTGGTCTTACAAGGAATCCAGCAATGTCAATTATATTATCCTAACTTTAGTTTGAGGTATTATTTATTAAAATTTAGTGGTTTTCCCACACATCTCCTTGGGACGGATGGTGGGGGGTGGGGGGGGGAGGGAGGGACCGACCGACCATCTGTTACCCCGTGAAGAATATTTTTTTTTTTTATTAACTGAAGATATTTGTTTTAGCTCATAAAATTCATACAAATTACCCAGTCAGAATATAATTTACATTGCTGGAATTCTTATAATTTGGTGATCATTTTGAATATAAACATCATATATTTTGCATTAGACATACAAATTTTAGATAAAATGTTTTTTCTAGTAAATATGTTATCTTTTGTGCAAAATATATGACATTTATATTCAAAATATTCCTGGTCTTACAAGGAATCCAGCAATGTCAATTATATTATCCTAACTTTAATCTGAGGTATTATTTAATACAAAATGTTAAAATTTATTTTTTTCACCCACTCTTCTCTTGAAGGGACGATTGGTGGGGGGTGGGGGGGAGGGTTGGGACTGACCACGCGGTTGGAAGAGGGGGGAGGCAAGGTGGGGTACTTTGATTGACAGATAGTGTCCTGAAGAATATTTTTTTTTTTTATTAACTGAAGATATTTGTTTTAGCTCATAAAATTCATACAAATTACCCGGCCAGAATATAATTTACATTGCTGGAATTCTTATAATTTGGTGATCATTTTGAATATAAACATCATATATTTTGCATTAGACATACAAATTTTAGATAAAATGTTTTCTCTAGTAAATATGTTATCTTTTGTGCAAAATATATGACATTTATATTCAAAATATTCCTGGTCTTACAAGGAATCCAGCAATGTCAATTGTATTATCCTAACTTTAGTTTGAGGTATTATTTATTAAAATTTAGTGGTTTTCCCCAAAAATTTCTCAGAGAGGGAAGAGCCAGCAGTGTAGTGTGAGAAGAGGGGGAGGGAGTTGAGTCCATTATTTGAATGGACATTAACTTGGCGACTGTATTTCTCTATTTCTCTTAAGTATTAATTGTGTGCATGTACCATCATAAAATTAAGATGTTATTTTTACTACAACATAGTTATGTGTCTTCAAAAAGTGGAGTTTGGGGGTCGGGCTGGTTTCTATTGGAATTAATCCCATATGTTCTGTTGTTCACTTAACGCGGATTTCACTTAACACGGGACCCTCTGGGTTCTATTGACCGCGTTAAGTGGGGTACAACTGTATATATATATTATATATATATATATATATATATATATATATATATATATATATATATATATATATATATATATATATATATATATATATATATATATATATATATATATATATACATACATACATACATACAGTAGCTCCTCCCCGACTTACGACCTACTCGACTTACGTCCACCCGCATTTACGACCTGCCTCAGTCGTACCAAAATTTGGGCAAAGTACATATTTTAGAGTCCCAAAGTCAGTACACTGACAAAATTTTCATATGTAATTCACTTTAAAATGGCTGGCAAGCTTAAAAGTGAGAGTATTGTGGTGCTGAGAAGAAAAAGAGACCCCCCATTTTCGATTTTCTATGTGTTATTTAAGCATTTCCGGCTTACGGCCGTTTCGGCTTACAACCTGGATGTCGGTCCGTAACCCCGTCATAAGTCGGGGAGCAGCTCTATATATAATATAATATATTATATATATATTATAACATGTGAAAATGAGTTTAGATTCTCTGCATTTCCTTGATATAAAACTAGCAACAGATGAGATATGTTAGATTTGTAATAAGATTAAAGCATTCATATATCATTTAGTTTTATAATCTGTTAACCTTTCAAAATCATAGGTGCTGAACCAGACAACTGCTCATCGACACCGTGTTCTGGCAGCTGCAGCAAAACACCTGCGCACTTGGTTTATCAAAGTGAGGAAGATTAAGGCCATCTATCATACCCTCAACATGTTTAACCTGGATGTGACCAACAAGTGTCTGATTGCAGAGTGTTGGATCCCTTATGCAGACCTCGGCCGTATCCAAGAAGCTCTTCGCAAAGGAACGGTAATTATATCATCATTTTTTCTTTATGCTTATGACAAGAAGATGTTGCACACTAAAATTTTAGAAAATCTCAAAACCACACCCATTTTGGGATTGATAGTGTGGCAAATTTAATAGCCTTGTGAGATATCAAGGGACTTACAGCATAGGTCCAAAGGATCTTGGGGTCATGATCCCAATATACAGTATCAGGTATTTATAACACTTATAAATTGATCCAAACACTATAAACATAAATTAGCATACACAGTTGCCCATAGGTATAGTGTTCTACTCCTCGGTGGCCTTTCTGTAACATGAGGAAAGCGGTTGTTGACATTGCCACATCTTTAGAAAGGCCACCAAGGGGTGGAACACTGTACTGTACCTGGGGGCAATTATACAGAAACCACTAACAATTCAATTAGGTAAAGAGCCCCTGATAACACTGGATAACAACATTTTTGCTTTAGTCTCATTAGCAGCTGTACTTTAATAGTTTGAGAGCACAAATTTTGTATATATAAATTTTGGGGGCATATCTGGTTGGGTTTTTTATATAGAGAATGTGGATTTGATTAGTTGACTTTATTTCCTGCATTTTTTTTTCCTGTTTACCTGAAAGAGACTTGGAAACATGGTGATTCTTCTTAATGTTATGTGTTAGGTAAACTACAAGTGAAATATACAGTACAGTAATTTAATTCGGCGACATGTGACCTAAGCTGTTGCGTCGCCAGGGATGTAATTACCACAATCAAGCAAGCAATCAATCTGTGGTGATATGAAAGTGATTGAGCTTTTTCTTGACATGCAAAGTGGGGTCATGAAATATTGATGCATTTTTTTTGCTTCTGGGACAACAGGGTTACACATCAGCATTACATGAAGACTGACTGGACTCCTCGTGAAATGTTTGTCCCTGGACATTATAGTGTGAAGTATCAACCATTGGTTGATTCAAAAATTATTTTTGTGCCAACACTTCACATGAACCCTGGCCTCCTAAAAGTTTTTGAGAGAGACCTGAACAAAGACTGTTGTAGATTCCAGTACTCTATGTACTTGTGTGAAAAATTTTGTCTTTATAGAACCTGGATTGAAAGAAGGAATTTAATGTGTAGTCATAAGGCTGGTGACTATAAAATATAGGACTCATTCAAGAATGTCGATGCTTATAAAGACCCAGGAGCTTGTATGTCTCTAAAGATTCACTTTTTGCCATCATGTTGATTTTTTCCTGAAAATTGAACTGATGTGTCTAATGATCACAGAGAATGAAAGATTTCACCAGGATGGAGCTAAAATGTAAAAAAAAAAAAGGGGGGGGGGGGGGGACAATGGGTTCCTAACATGAGGGCTCACTTTTGCTGGGTGTTGAAAAGAGATAAAACTAAGTGCTGAATTGAAACATAAGTCCAAAACAACTCATTTCTGAACATTCAGCATATGTATAATCATTGTGAAAATACTTGGATTTTAAGTGCAGTTGTACCCCGATTTACGCGGTCAATTGAACCCACAGGGTACCGCGGAAAGTGAACAACAGAACATATGGGATTAATTCCAATAGAGACTGGCCCGACCCCCAAACTCCACTTTTTCCGACACAATACCTATGTTGTAGTAAAAATAACATCTAAATTTTATGATGGTATGCTCACACAATTAATATTTAAGAGAAATACAGTCGCCAGGTTAATGTCCATTCAAATAATGGACTCAAATCCCTCTCCCCTCTTCCCAGCTCACTAGCTCCTACCTCTCTGAGAAATGTTAACGTTTAGTAATAAATAATACCTCAGACTAAAGTTAGGATAATATAATTGACATTTCTGGATTCCTTGCAGGTCAGGGAATATTTTGAATGCAAACTTAATATATTTTGCACAAAAGATAAAATATTTGCTTTGTGTAAACCAAGTTATTACATTAGATCTAAAATTTGTATGTCTAATGCAAAATCCATGATGTTTATATTCAAAATGATCATCATATTGTAAGAATTCCAGCAATGTAAATTATATTCTGGCCGGGTAATTTGTATGAATTTTATGAGCTAAAACATATATCTTCAGTAAATAAACAAAGAAATATTCTTCAAGGACACTATATATTCTTCAAGGACACTATCTGTCAATCAAAATACTCCGCCCTCCCTCCCTTCCTCCCAGAGAAGCTTTGGGAGAAAATAGTATATTTACATTTTTAGTAATAAATAATAACTCAGACTAAAGTTAGGATAATATAATTGACATTTCTGGATTCCTTGTAGGTCAGGGAATATTTTGAATGTAAACTTCATATTTTCTGCACAAAGGATAAAATATTTGCTTTGTGTAAACCAAATTATTACAGTAGATCTAAAATTTGTATGGCTAATGCAAAATCCATGATGTTTATATTCAAAATGATCATCTTATTGTAAGAATTCCAGCAATGTAAATTATATTCTGGCCTGGTAATTTGTATGAATTTTATGAGCTAAATAAAAAAAAATAAATTATACTTCACCGTGTATATGAGTAGATGCACCGCGGAAAGTGAAAGTCCGGTTCTGGCAAGGTACTGCGTAAATCGCGGAAAGTGAAACCGTGTAAAGCAGGGTAATACTGTATTGTAATTTTTTCCATTTTAACCCCCTAGCTCCGGGCTAGGGGGTCGCTGGCCGTATTCCCCCTACGCATTTTGTTATCTCCCCTCCCTGACAGCTGTCAATGCCTCCACCCCCCCCCTCCCTCCCCTTCCTCACAGCCAGGGTGAAGGCAGTTTAGGCTTAAAGTTTTTATCTTATAAAATGTCACAGACTAGACTTAGCAGAATATAAATTACATTGCTGGAATCCTTGTAATATAGTGATTAATTTGCATAGCTTGCACAAGATATAAAATTTTTAGTCTAGTGTTGTATACAGTACATTTGAGTACAAAGTGTGTACAGCAATGTTGCTCAAAATTATGGCTTTTTCACATTTAATTTACATTTAATATTTGTTTAATCAAAGTTTTTAGCAGTCCATGGTGCTTTAGAGACACAGGAGGTGTATTGTTGAATTATTATTACCTGACCTCGGTTGGTCTGGCAAGGCTTTGGAACCAAGGGTGCCGGAAAATCGGTGGTGTACCTGTATAAATTCTTACCAGCACCCTTTTCATGCAAACTTTCCAGGCAATCAGGTAATCAAGTAAACAAGCAAGCATAGAAAACAGCTGTAAATCAATGTGTGTTTGTATGATAACACTTCAGGTGGAAAAATGGTGGTGAATAGACTTGCTGGATCCACTTACATTATTTATAGGTACTACAAAAGTACTGAAAAATAAAGATATGAAAATTGCAATGCAGGTATCAATGCTTGATTTGCAGTTTAGTTGTCTTCTATAGAGAAGTAATCTAAAATAGGTAGTTTAGGTGTAGAGGAGATGTAGAGCATTACCAAAACAGGTAATGCATATCTCAAAGCTAAGTAATATGGATATCTGTTGGTTTTCATTTTCTATATTTCTTAGAGTTTCCTCTGTGCCTTATGGGATTATTATTATTATTACAGTATTTTTTTCTTTTAATTATCTAGGACAAATCAGGTACCTCAGTGCAGCCCATTCTGAATCGCATGGAAACCTCAGTGAAGCCTCCAACCTTCCATCGGACCAACAAATTCACACGCGGCTTCCAAACTTTGGTTGATAACTATGGTGTGGCATCATACCGTGAAGTAAACCCAGGTTTGTTTGGCTACTATGTACTTTACATTACTTTGGTGTTGACATGTATATTTAATCACAAGCTAGGAAATGCTTACCTATCAGTAAATCTGTTATCTGTTATATAGCACCTCAAGTGTTGAAATGCATGATATTTTTTTCATATTTATTACATATAAATGTGTTTTCAATATCTATTAATTTCTTATCTTGTTAACCTTCCTAGTTTCTTAAATTCCTCTAAGCACTTGAACATTTCCACCATTCCCATTACCAGTATCTTAAATTTGAGTACTGTACTACATAAAATACAACGTACAGAAAATATAAACTTAATCAGGGCTATTATTATAATGGCACTTCTTATTTACAGCTCTCTATACAACAACCACCTTCCCATTCTTATTTGCCGTGATGTTTGGTGATGCTGGTCATGGATTTATCATGCTACTATTTGCTGGGTGGATGGTTCTAAGAGAGAAGGCCCTGATTGCTTCAAAGATGAGTGGTGAGGTGAGCATCTCATAGAATTCCTTGTCATGCAGTGAGTTGTTTTCCCTTACTGAATTCATTGATATTCAGCTAGTCTGGTTCATGGACAATTCCAGTTACCTGTGAAATATCCCTTAAATTGGCAGTATTTTCATTAAACTACAGTGATATCCCCATTAGCCGGAACAATTGGTGCAGAGCACTTCCGGGAATGAGAGATTTTCAGGTAATGAGGCGACTCTCTCAAAGCCGGAAAAAATCCCTCATCCTCGGAATTTTCCGGGTAACGGAAAAGTGTTCTCGGAAGTTCCTGAATTGCCCATTCCATCATCTCACGAACCTGGAAAAATATCCCTCATCCCCAGAATTTTCCAGTTAATGGAAAATTTTTCTCAGAATTTCCAGAAAATGTGCCTCATTTTCATCACTCAAACCCGGAAAAAACTCCTCCGTCCCAGGAATTTTCCGGGTATTGGGAAAATTTTATCATTATTTTCCGGAAAATGTGCCCCTCAGAAAATCGTTCCCAAAGCCGGAATTTTCTGGAAAATTCCAGCTTTTACTACGACAATAACCAGGGTCTTATTTTCTTCAGTTTCAGGTGGATAACTGACATTATGAGTGTAAACACTGACAACAATGCCATCTCTTATCCTCTTGTGTGTTTTAATATTCTACGTATTATTAATGAATTGTATTGTTCATTTCACATATACAGTACTCTCTACTATAAAGATTAATTCAATCAAATACATATTCAGTAATAAACAATAATGAATCTTTTGTACATATTCTTAAAAAGATAAATGACACTGTATCCGTAAATGCGCACGCACGTATATGTTGGCGTTCCCAATCCATCTCTTTTTTTTTTCTTTACCATTAGTGGCTAGCTACTTCTATTGTTCCATTTATTAACATTAAATAACATTACTTAAAACATATTTATTCATTTTTTTACATTAATTTTACTACAGCTACAACCAGGGTCTTATTTTTTTCATTTTCTCGTGTAGAACTATCATCACGGACTCCTGGCTGTAAACACAAACGAAAACAATGGCGTCCCATCTCCTCTTGTGTGACCATGTTATTATTCATTTATATTGTATAAGGTGCATTGAGAAACATTATTTAAAGAATATAATTTGCAATTTTCATTAATCGTATTGTTTTTTGGGGAGAAGAGGGTAAAAAGTCACACAAAAGATATGAAAAGGTTACACTTGGAAACACATCTCATTATTATTGCTTTTTTTAATGGTAATTAATGAGTCACGATACAATGATTCACCTTACACTGCAATATTGGAGGACACTTTACCGCCGTTATTCGAGGCTTTACTGTCTAGGGTAGACTCTTGTTCCAGAAAGCAAAATTCCTCAGTCAATGATTATGTTGAATGATTTCCATTTTATTTGCACTGATACTTTTTTTGGTATTATAGATATGGAACATTTTCTTTGGTGGCCGCTACATCCTCCTTCTCATGGGCCTGTTCTCCATCTACACTGGTACCATCTACAATGACATCTTCTCCAAGTCATTCAACATATTTGGATCCAACTGGCACATGGGTCATAATGCCACAGTAAAAAACTTATCGTTTACAGAGGCTCTGACACTGGATCCATACTATCGTGATGAATATATTGGGGATCCTTACCCATTTGGATTTGACCCCATATGGCAGGTTAGTCAAAAGGAGAGCATTGTTAAAAAGGTTGTTTTGGAAAGATTGAGAAGTGAAGAACAGGTAACATGGATGTTGTAAAGACAGTCAAGTTAAGGATGGTTTAAAGGGAGTGGATGGCAGTTACTGTACATTAGAATGTAAGTTTTAATAATATTGTGTCAATTATTTTCTTTTTGCTAACTCAACCATCCCATTGTTTGGCTGCTGATTCAAGGTTTATATTTCCATGAATCTGATTGATCATTCATATGATTGTAGTTAGTGATTTGGGTCCTCATTTCACTACAACGTCATATTTTACATGTAAAAGTTCTTCCAGGTTGACTTCGGTACCATTACAATACATACTGTAACCCTACCCTCCGAAAAAAGTGAAAGGACACTTTACTGATACATTGTGTAAGAACCTGTTACAGTATATGATATCTTCTGTAAAGAAAAACAGATTGCTAGAACAGTATTAGTCTGTGAAAATAATAATGTTTGCATGAATAGATTATATCTCTTATGCAACACACTGGGAGAATATGTGAACCAAGAGTAAACTCATGACACACCAGTATGACAAGGTATACATACCTGATAGAGGCATATTTATGGATGACTTTGACCTGATTTTACTATCTTAAGTTCTTGAAAATTAAATTAAAATGCAGCAAATAACACAATTTGCACTGCAGCTCAGTAAATTCATCTTGTAAATACTGTACAGTATGTTGGTGGTACATGGTGGTAATCAAGTCAGCGTCCTTTAAACATAGAATTTTGTAAACTTCCATCCACATTAAGGGTTTTTCAACAGTATTATGCAATATAAAAAAAAAACAATTTGCACAACATGTGTAGCACATATTAGAAATTACAATGTATGGGATACGTTGATTAGGAAGACTGTGAAAACGAAAGCCATTATTGAGGAATCCAATATTACTGTGGTGTAATGGTCAGCATTCTCACCTCGCAAGCGAGCGGACCTGGGTTCGATCCTCGGGCAGGCTGAAACTATGGGCAAGTTTCTTTACACCATTTGCCTTGTCTACCCAGCAGTAATTGGGAACCTGGATGTTAATCGATTTGCGGATCGTTAGGGACCCAAATCCAGGTGGTAAGTTGAAATGGTTGTAAGTCGGAAATGCTTAAATAATACATAGAAAATCTAAAATGGGTGTCTCTTTTTCTTCTCAGCACCACAAAACACTCACTTTTAAGCTTGCCAGTCATTTTAAAGTGATTTACAAACGAAAATTTTGTCTGTGTACTGACTTTGGGACTAGAAAATACATAATTTGACCAAATTATATATAAATATATATATATATATATATATATATATATATATATATATATATATATATATATATATATATATATATATATATATATATATATAAATTATATATATATATATATATATATATATATATATATATATATATATATATATATATATATATATATATATATATATATATATATATATATATATATATATATATATATATATATATATATATATATATATATATATATATATATATATATATATATATATTTATTTTACTGTCTCTAGAACAAATGGCTCCCTGTCCCGGCCGTGAAAATGCCAGTAACTTTAAAATTACCCGCTTGTATTCTTGGGTACATCCAGGGTATCATCCACTAATAATTGAGGACTGCGAATTAAAAATCTGCAAATTGTCCGAGCGTACTGTAATGTATTGTATGAGTTTCTGGATTTTACATTATATAAGTTTTGAAGATAAAAAATTTTCTTGTATTTAACTTACTGTACTGTATTACATTATTTTTGTTCTTGCCTTTTCTCTCTCAGGCCTAATGTGTGTGTTACAGCCCATATACAGTATTAAGGCATTAACTAAAGTTAATTGTCTCTTCATACTTAATATTCTCCCCAAACATGGTGCTGCATATTAATAGATTTATTTTCACAGGTTTCAATAAACAAGATTGCCTTCCAAAACAGTTATAAGATGAAGATTTCTATTATCATAGGAGTTGTTCACATGCTCTTCGGTGTTATACTGTCTGTTGTGAATCAAGCGTAAGTATTACCTACATAGGTATTAATTTGGCTTAATGATAAAATAACTTTGAACTTTATCCACAAGGGTTGATGCCTACTCAGCATTGGAATAAGGGAAGGTGATGCTTAATCGTAAACAAATGCTTATTTGTATATGCAAATTATTATTGTTATAATATACTGTACATACAGCTGACATCCAGTTAACAAAACCATTATATACCATATATACTGGTTTGAAAGCAAATGGGCATATAAGACAACCCTCAATTTTTAAATTGAAATTTTAATTTTAGGCAAAGCTCGCCATAAAAACAATTATAAAATATTAACCTTGGTTATATGATAAAAATTGTTCCCAGTAGTAATGAATTTGAAAATTCCCATAATATTGCTCACAGTTGTAAATCTAGTCATACATCGTAGTATGATCGTCCATACCCGTTTATCTGACAGCGAATCATATCTGTTGGCCATTCCCATCATAGCATCGAAGGCTGAGGATATTTTCTTCTTCTTCAGGGGCCTGGCTTTGTCCACTACTGTAAATCTAATTATCAAATGTTTTATGGGAAACTGGTCCCATGCAACTGAACACAACAAACCATGTGTTAGTATAATGGGAACAGCTGCAGCACTAGAAGTTGAAGGTCTACATGTGTTTCCCTTTGCCATTTGGACATGTCCTGGTTTAATTTTTTTTCGAAGCTACAGTATATCATCTACTAGTGTATCATCTGATGATACTTTTATGACAGTGTTTTATACTGTTTTTTGCCGCCATTGCACTTCCAATCGAAACCAAAACATGGCCATGCTGTAAATATTAGTCTTGATTGTTAAATCGAAAGCACTAGTACTGTACCACTGAGCATACAAAAAACTACTAGGGTGCACGAGGATAAATGTTAAATGTTTGTGATACATCATATGTATCTGAAATTTGGATTCATATATGCTTTTGCCATTTAAAATAATTCCAAAGCAAGAATGATTATCAGTGGCAATAAAAAGATACCACAATCCCCTCCCCCCAAAACAAAATATAAATAAAAAATCAAATATTCTACTGCCTTAAAATTTATGTCGGTGGGCCCATTAAAGATAAAATAAATATGTCTGACCTTAGTCATTTTTGAGAAAATGGTACGATAATATTATTTGTCTTCAAGTATATAACTTCAGTTTATAGCATTAAATGAATAGACAGTAAAAATCCAGAATATTACAATTCAACTCATGATTGTAAATTGGTGAACACAACCTAGTCTTAACTTAGGGCTTACCTGTAACTTTGAATTCCTTAAAGGATACTTGTCACCTCAAGGGCCTTGTATATTTTATGGTTATTATAATGGATTTGTTTATCAGCTATATTCTTCAGAAATGTCCTCAGCTCATGCATCCATGATCCTTAATTGGATGTGTACTGTGACTTAAGAGGTGTATTAGTTATCTTTATAATGTTTATGCAAGACATTCTGTCAGTAAACAAGTGCATTTTGCTGCATAATATACAGTACTGTACTATTATTTTAGTAATAATTACATTACCCTGGAAATGGTTATCAACTTCATTTCATTTGTGGAGCATAGTATGAAAAGCATTTTAACTTTTGTAAGAAAAGTTTGTACATTACAGTAAACCCTCAAAGATCCGGACACGGTAAATCCGGATTTCGGAAGATTCGGACAAAAAATTTGGGGGTTCTGGGTCTAAGAAGCCTCCATAAGAAGCATTCCCAAAACAGGGTGAAGGTAGTTTTAGGCTTAAAGTTTCTATCTTATAAAATTTCACAGACTGAACTTAGCAGAATACAACTTGCATTGCTGGAATCCTTGCAAGATAGTGAATGATTTGAATGGAGACAGCGTGAAGTTGCTTAAGAGATAAAAAACATTCTCCTTTAGTGTAGTACATTCGAGTACAAAGTGAGTACAGTAATATGTTCCTCAAAAGTATGGCATTTTCACAGGAAAAAAAGTCTGTATAACTAACCCAAGTAGTCAGGATGTGTACTGTATATTTGGTGTTTTATATATTCGGCGGAAGATTCAAACAATCGGCTTTTTCGAACAGGTGGTCCCCCTTTTAGTCCGGATCTTTGAGGGTGTACTGCTTACAAGTTCATTTGGATGATGTCATCTTGTTTGTAGAACACATTACATCTATGGATTGATTGCCCTGGACTTATAAATGTGTATCATCTTGAAGAATACTTGGAAAGATTGTGAACAGTGACTGTTAACCCGGTGATTTAACTGATGTATCTTAATTTTCAGATTCTTCATGAACACATTGAGTTTCGTCTTCGAGTTCATCCCTCAAATGATCTTCATGCTTGGACTCTTTGGTTACCTCTGCATAATGGTATTTCACAAATGGATTCATTATGGGAGTGGACCAGAGTTTTCAGTAGCTTATGGTTCAAGCTGTGCCCCATCAGTCCTAATCACCTTCATCGACATGGTTTTGTTGAAGTCAGAGGAGGTATGTAGGCCCTGATACACTCATCACTCCTTGACTAGTTTTGGCCATAGGAATCTGTGTGGCCATAGATTTATTTGTACTTGCATGTGACTTGAAACTTTGGAAATAATGTCGAATCTTGGATGTATTCAGCTGAAACTTTGTGAGCATCATAACCTACCACTCAGAGATAAGCATGTTCTTTTGGAGGTACAATGTCAAATGTCTCCAGTACTTAAGTAAAGGTAACAGATTTACCAAGAAATCCCCTACAAACTTCACAACTACACTTTTTTTGTATTATCCCAAACCAATTCCAGGTTGAAACTTCTCACAGTGTCATTCATTCACACTTACTACTTGTAAAAGATGTGTTCTGATGTGGTATTCCCCATCCATAATAAATCATCTGCTTCACATAACCTTGCTTTACCCATCAAGCATATCTTTACCTCACTTCCAGTGCATGTATCACCTGGTTCAGAATTTAAATATTTGATTAATTAGTGTAATGAGCATGTAAATAATGTAACGCATACAGAATATTTAAAATGTCAAATATGTTGTGCCCGTAAACTATGAATTGCCCTTACGATACATAGATTTTCTATGTAATATGGACTAGCTTTATGCTTTAAACACGTTAGATTTCAGTTTCCAGAGAAAAGGCATTTTATCGTGAAAATGATGACTGGATTATCTTTATGCTTTAAACACGTTAGTTTTCAGTTTCCAAGGAAAAGGCGTTTTATCATGAAAATGATGATTGACCTATTACCCATCGTTTCAGCATATTAGGTCAAAACTTGGATTTTGTTCAGAATTCATTCAAAGGTACTTTCATACATGTGGGTTAAGGATCTGGGATCACCTTTCACCTCATCCTTTCATATCCTTCTTGGTTCCCCCTTCTGCCTTTCACTTGAACTGTATAGTACTTTCTGTTAACCCAACTTAAAGTTTCTATTTTATTAATGTTAATACTACAAAAACAGAGTTTGATCCTCTTACTCCAGTAAATCCTTCTCTTTCTCATCCACTTATTACTGTTATTTTTCTTTTGCATCCTATTCACCTCTCAAATTACTCTCAAAGATATCTATACCCCAGACTAGTAATTTGTGGAACTTCCTTTCACAAAGTATCTGTAGGAATATAACCCTGGAAATTGAACATATTCTAATACAGTACTATCTATATTTTTTTCAGCCTCTCCCGGGTTGTAACCAATGGATGTATGACGGTCAATACACAGTGCAGGTGGTGCTGCTGATACTTTGTGTCATCTGTGTGCCCATCATGCTTATCCCTAAACCATTTGTCCTGAGATCCCGACACAATGCTAAGATGCGTGCACAGTCACATCTAGCAACTATCCATGAGGAAGAGATGGTAAGAAGCTTGTATAGGAGCTTATATATGTGAATAATTGTTTGTTTATGTTTTAAATATAATAGATAATCAGGTTTAAGTATTATTAGATATACTGTACAGTTGAATAACATGAATCCCAAGAATGTGATTCTTTTTGCATATATATATATATATACAGTGGCCCTCGGTTAGCGAACTCAATCTATTTCCAGGGTGGTTCGTTAACAGCGTTCGTTAACTTGAAACCATTGTTTCAATGGGTTTTTGGGTAATTGGTTCCAGCTTACCGAAAATTTCCTAAATTCAACAAAAATGGTAGAAAAGTTCACTTACTTTGAGGTGTGTATGTAGAAGGCTCCTGGATGATGATGATGATGATGGGATTTAGAATGGGGGTGGAGGAGAAGGAAGAAGAGAAGGCATTGGGGTGGAAGAGAAGTCACCCCATGGCGCCATTTCACCCATAAAATTTTAGCTCTCTGGTTTAATTCAAGATTATTTTCTTTAAATCAACACTGCACTGCATTATATATTGTCAATATGTAAAATATATTTCAAAATGACCAATAATTTGCTTGGAAACACAGAAAAAAGCGTTTAGTTGAAGAGAGTCTCAAGCAAGATGTTACCTTCAGTGAAAACAGAGAGAGACAGTAACTCCTGTTTGCTGTGTTAAGAGGCTGGATGCCGCGCATTAAACTAGTCACTTTACCTTCAATTATGTTCAATAATTGTTAAAATGACTAAAAATTGAATATTAAACTTTAAAATTATTGAATAGTATAAACTTCTTGATATTTACTAAAATAGTAAGGAATTTAAGCCCTAGATCCGATTAATGTATTGGCGGACTGATACTAAAGCTGGTTGCCCGGGTCAGTGTTTAAAACATGTTGGAGGTCGGTTCGTAAGATATTCGCAATCAATTTTTGTTCGTTAACCGAATTGAAGATCCTTATGGAAGGCAGTTCGTTAACCGAAATTTCCTTGTTTAATCCCAGGCGCTCATAAACGAGAGTCGCCACTGTATTGTTTTATTATTTACATTTTATAATAATCGAGCTGCTGCTCCAGAGAATGGGGAGGGTGAGGGCAGTAGATGTTGGTCAGTTATACAGTATAGAACATGTACAATTATGCTAAAATTTTTAATATAAATATAACAGGATAGAGGATAGGGACAGTTGCCACGAGTAACAATAATTCACTAAAGAAGAAATCTCACCGAGCTAAACTTAAACGTTATGGCGAGGCAGCAGCCTGATTTTATAGATGATCACCGTCATTGGGGGATTAAAGAAATTCATCATCTATTGGTGATCCCATTGTTTAAGGGATAAGGGACTCACAGTCATGTTCAAGTCTGACAATCTCCAAAAAGTACATCGAAAAATAAACCTTTTTGTCAAGCTAATTTTCGTTATTGTGACTCAGGATGGCAAACCTAAACAAATCAGAATGATGAACCAAAACAAAACTGTAAATTTTGTATATACTGTACCTGGAGGTCATTTATTATTTGTTGCATTTCTTTGTCTCTTTTCACTTCGTTGATATACTCAGCCAGGTCCA